CCATCATCCCTGGCCCCCCAAGAGTATCTGCTCTCGCTCTTCCAGGCTGCAGCCTCAGGGGTCCTGATGAGACCGAGGTCACATCACCTCCCTCTGCTCCAAACCTCCTATTTTCCCCATCACCTCCAGAAGAGACACCCAACTTTTCATGGAGCCATTCCAGGCCCGACCCCTTCCCATCTGCTCTCTGTTCTCTCTTCTCTCTCATGAGAAGAAGAGGAACTGCAGTTCCTTGAACAAACACACCTTCACCTCCTAGCATGAACATATTCCAATACCTCTGTCTGGAACAATCTTTTACCCCACTGTATTGGTTGCCAGCAATAGGGACCTCTCCATATAACTTCCAGCCTGGATGTATGACCCTGGGTCTCCAGGCCCAAGAAGAGTGGAAGAGTGGCAGGCAAAGAGACTCAGGACACAATTCCAGAGACCAAGATGGGGGCTCAGGACCATTGAGGGCCTGGGATATCCTTCACTCACCTTCATACAGTCCATAAGTGCTTCTCTGGTCTTGGTAATCTGTGCAAGGAGAAGGGTCACCAGAGGGATGTAACCATGGCAGGGCTCCATGGGCTCCCCTGCACCCCTGCCCGGCCCTGGAGCCAGGTGACCTGGGATGACTGCATTCTCTCTCAGCCTCAGTCCCCAGTGCTGACTCTTACAACTGCGTGACCTTGGCCAAGGGCTCAAACTCCCTGTGTCTCGGAATTATCATCTTCTTTCCGGTCTGTTCTAACTCTGAATAACTTTGAAAACTTTGAGAAGCCTAATTCAGATCTTGTGCCTCTTCTATTCACAACCCTCCATGGCTCCCGGCATCCTGAGAATTAAGTTGAAACTCTGCATCTAGGCACTACAGGAGCATTTGCTCCTGGATCAATTGCCCCCGCAAACCAGTCTCTCTGCCTGTAACTCTCACATCTCATCAACGGTGGCTTTCAGAAACGGGGACGAAGAGGAGAGAAGAGAAGAGAAGAGAGAAAAGAGAAAGAAATGGGGACGGCACACATTATCTCCTCACTGACCCGGACCCCTGGGCCTGGGCCGTAGGGACGCGAGCAGGCACCTCGTGTTCGGGCCTTTAGGGCCTGGGTGGAGGAAGGGCGGGGAGGACCTGGAGGCCGCACGTTTACCTGAGTCGGGTCCCGGGGCGCGGCCGCCGCCATCCGACTCTGTAGGTACAGAGGGGTCCTAAGAGGTCGGCGACAGAGACGGGACTCGTGCACAGTTGTCAACCACCGCATCCGTCCCTCAGACCAGCTGCTGTGCAGTGGGGACAACCCCACCCCTACCGCCTTCTGGCTCTGACCACCGCGGACCCGACTGCACGCTCCTAAAGGTCCCAGATCCCGCCTGCGCGCGAAAGCAAAGCGACTGCAGCCTCAGGGGTGCCGGAAGTCCCGCCCCGAAGCTCTGGTCCACACGCGGAAACTCCCCTATTTCTGCGCGTTCATTGGCTGCACGCTCTGGGACGCGGCACTGGCAATTATGGGTAATGTAGTCCCCACGGTGGCGCTCGGCACGAGGTTCGCGGAGCCCCGAGGCCACGTTTGCTCGCGGAGTACAGACACCGTCTGGGAAGGTGTGAGGCGAGGCCCCGGGACGGTCCCCTCGCGGAAGCTCGACCCGCACCCGGGCGCCCCTCGGCTGAGCGGGGTGGTAGTGGGCGACGTGGGAGGTCTCCCCCGGGGAAGCGCCCAGTGCTGGACGTGCCTACCCCCTCCCCAGTCCCGGAGCCGCTCCCCACGCGCCCCGGCCCCGCGTCTCAGAACGAGTTAAAGACCCGGATCAGGCCCGGCGGCACTGTGTGCGCTTCCCGCGGGTCGCCCACAAAGGCCGGGATTTGGCCTCGGCGGGCACAGGTGCGCACTCTTCCCCCCGCGAGCCGCGCGGACGCGTCGCTGGCGGCTCAGGTCTGCAGCCCGAGGCGGGGGCGTTTTGCCCCCGGGATCCGCGGCGGAAATCCGGCGCCTGGAGCCTGAGGGCCCCGGGGGAGCCCTGTCGGGAGGAGCCCGATACCCAGGAACGTCAGCGCGCGCCCGCAACTTCGCCGCTGCCCTCGGCGGCAGCTCGCGGCCCTCACCGCTCCCGGGACCCGGGCGGGCGCCCCCTGGAAGCCCCTTGGGTGGAAAGGGGGAACTCAGACTCGGGGGCCTCTGAGGAGGTGCCCACGCCCTCTAGGTGTGTCCCCGGACCCTCGCGCTGCTCGGCCCTCCACCCGAGCTTCCATGGGGCCCACCGGCACCTTGGGGTCTGAAGTTCCATCTCCGCTGTGCCCAGCCCACGCTGTCCCCGGTCAGATGGGACCTCAGATCACACCTGGCCCGCTGACCTGATGAGCATGTCTGTCTGCGGAGGGAAAGAATTAACCAGGTTCCCTCAGGGAAACAGGTGCACTGAGAGCCCCCAAGCGGAACCTACCCTCAGCGTGGGCTCCTGCTGCCTCCAAGACCCACCTGCCCCCTGAGCCTAAGTCCATGCAAGCAAGGCCCCACCCGGGACAAGTCCCCGCCCCCCGTGCGGCTTCCCGCAGGGGTGTCTGGAAAGCAACCCAAAGCAATGGTGAATGCTTTTAAAACAGAAACTTGAAAAATACTTGATAAGTCAAAGGGTGAGAACCGCTTGTGGGGTAGTAGAATGGGGTGGCAACCTGAGTGTAAACAGCAGGGGGGTCATTGTTGCCTTTGTTCCCTGCAGGGTTCTAATAGCACCCTCACTGTGTGGCCTGTGCCATCTGCAGCGGTTCCCAGCCCCAGCAGTAGTAGTTCTTTGCCCAGCCTTGTGAAGTCTCATCCAGCACCTGCACAGGTTAGTTGTTTTTTTTTTTTTTTTCTTCCAGACACCTTGGAGACCCCACGCAGATTACTGAGGTTTCTTCAGTGCCCATACCCCGTTCTCTGTTGGGCTTACGTAGGGATTCCAGACTCCTCCTCACCCTGAGCTCTGAGTACATGGAAATCCACAGAGTACAGCATGAAACTTCTAACCTATTTAAGGGCTGGAAGAAATCTTACTTGAAGTAGGAGCCGCTTCTAGAAGTCTTACTTGAGTTAGGAAGGTTATCTTTTGAGTTGAATAAAGGAGGAAGAAAATCCCAAAGTAACCGGCTCAAGCCATATATTACCTTTATTTCTAACAGGATGTGTCTGTTTCCTGTTGGATATATATTTTGCTATGTGTAGTTTACTCACACTGGAAGAAAGATGGGTTTCCTTGGCTTCATTGGGGAATGGAAAAGAGAGTGGAGGAGGGAATTTAATGTGTGGGCTGCAAGGTTGATTGGGATGGGCAGTGGGGAAGATGATTCTGGGTCATCAGAAATGAAATAGAGCATTAAGGAGGTGATAGAAGCGAGGATGTTTTCCTTCTAGGTGTTAGTCCCTATTTATATACTGATGGAAGGTCAGTAGATAAGGGAAAATAGGTGAGGAAAGGGATCATGGAAAACAGCAGGTGTGAATTACTTAAAATGTTAACAGAATGGTTCATTAGGGAAATTTTATCCAAACCGTGATGAGGTATCACTCCACATCTACCAGGATGGCCGTGGGGCAGAAATGGTATTGACAAAGCCTTAGAAAAATTGGAGAAATTGGAGCCCTCATCTGTTGCTGATGGGAATGTAAAATAGTGCAGTGTGAGATAGAACAATGTGAAAACCAGTTTAGCTGCTCCTCAAAAACTTGAATGTGGAAATACCATTGGGCCTAGCATTTAACACTCCTGGTATCCAACCCAAAGAATGGAAAGCAGGACTCAAACAAACACTTGTACACCAATGGTCATAGCAGCACTCTTCACGATATCCAAAAGGTGGAAACAATCCAAGTATCTGTTAACACAGGAAAGGATTTTTAAAATGTGGTATTTTATACAATGGAATATTATTCAGCCACAAAAAGGAATGAAGTTCTGATACATACAACAAGATGGGTGAAACTTGAAAACATTATGCTAAGTGATTAAAGCCAGACCCAAAAAGATAAATATTATGATTCCATTCATAGGAAATACCCAGAATAGTCAAGCTCATAGAGACTGAACATAGGTTAGAGGTTAGCAGGGCCTAGGTAGAGAGGGAAATAGGAAATTATTGGTCAGTGGGTACATATTTTCTGTTTGGTTTGATTTTTTGTTAAGTTTCACGTGTCCAGCTATAAAATAAATAAGCCACAGGGACAAAGATACAGCATAGGGAACAGAGTCGATAATATTGTAATAACCCTGCATGGTGATAGATGGTGGCTGCACTTACGGTGAGCGTTGTGTAATGTATAGAGTTGTCAAATCACTATGTTGTGTACTTGAAATTAACACAACTTTATATGTTGTATTATTTTCGTATATAAATTGTATTTTGACACATATATGTGAACTAGAAACAGATAGTGGTAATGGTAGTAGACACGGAACACTGCAGATTTACTTAATGCCACTGAATCGTATACTTGAAAATAATTAAAATGGAAAACTTTATATTACATATAATTTACTGCTATATATACACCAAAACACCTGCAAAGTGAGAGATTTTGTCTAAATCCCCAAACTCACAATTTTTCCTCTGTTCTACTATTTCAAAATTTCATGGATTTTTCTATGGATGAAGCTAAAACAATTTGAGTAATGTTTGTGTAAACAACTTACATAATATTCACGTGCTCCTATTATAGGGTTCATGAGTTCTAGGACCTAATTGTTTCAGTCTACACAGCATAATACTTTCTTATCAAAAATATGAGGGGCGCCTGGGTGGCGCAGTCGGTTAAGCGTCCGACTTCAGCCAGGTCAAGATCTTGCGGTCCGTGAGTTCGAGCCCCGCGTCGGGCTCTGGGCTGATGGCTCAGAGCCTGGAGCCTGTTTCCGATTCTGTGTCTCCCTCTCTCTCTGCCCCTCCCCCGTTCATGCTCTGTCTCTCTCTGTCCCAAAAATAAATAAACGTTGAAAAAAAAAATTTTTTTTTTAAATAAAAAAAAAAAAATTAAAAAAAAATATGAAAATTATTGATCCCTAAGTATTAGCAGATGATGGAAAGAATGATTGAATTTCCCGTAGAGAACAGAGTCTTATGGTCTCAGCCAAATTAGCAAAAGCTGTTTACCTCGCCTAGCCAGTAAAACAAAACCGGTTTTGCAGTTTACCAGTGACACGAGTATCACTGAAAATGAGCACAAAGGGACTGAATGTTGAGAAACATAAAGACAAAAATATAGAGGCATCCACCAGCCACTGTTCTGGAATAACAAATAGAATCATCCAAACAGACAAAAGAGAAGACAGTGAGTAAAAAGAGAGAAAGCAGCTCACAAGGATCAAAATGGTGTACGTAGCTCTGGCCTCGGGAGAAGGTCTAGGAGAATGGCTGTTGCTGTGAATATATTGGACCTGTTGCCTGTGCCTGTGTAGGAAAATAACCATGGAGCCACTAGCCCAGACCATGAAGGCCAAACATGCGAGGTCAATTGTAGAAAATAGGGCTGTCACTATAAACTTTAAAAATCGGTCCGGATTTAATGGGTAGCAGTATCCATAATTTATCTTCACACTAAGGTTTTTACTGTGCGTTGGACCAGCCATTTTAATAGGAACAAAGATGCTTACCAAGAGATGCAGGATCCAGCAAAGGCAACAGCACAAGTAAATGCACTTTGAGGATCTCCTTCTGAGTTCCATCGAACTAGAGACATTGAGGCGAAGCCTAACGGCTTGGAAGACACTGAGGAGGGAGGTGGTAGTGAGGCAGACCCCCCTGGCTACTCTGTGGAAGTAGAAGAAAAACTTACATCCAGCCTCATTCAGGAAATATGTTGCTCCAAAAGCTGCTGTTATATGAGGGATCCCTCTGGAGGAAAGCACCAAGGAGTTGGCTAAGACCAGTTGATTGAGAATCACGTCTGTGGGTCTCACCTTGTGTCCAGTGAGCAGAGTGAAGTTATAAAGACAAAGAAGGGAGAAGTTTCCAAGGATTCCCACTCCCAGCTGAGTGACTAAGGTAATCCCGATTTGCCACTTGACAGAAGCCATCACGTCATCTATGGAACATTGGTTTTAGTTGCAGCCAGAGGAATGCAGTTTGACAAACAAAAAGAAATATTTACCACCAAACCCAGTGGCCTCCAGCGCTAAGCTTAGCACATTCTTTCTAAATTTAAATAAACACTATAGGGGCGCCTGGGTGGCTCAGTCAGTGAAGCGTCCAACTTCAGCTCAGGTCATGATCTCACGGTTCATGAGTTTGAGCCCAGCGTCTGGCTCTGTGATGACAGCTCGGAACCGGGGGCCTGCTTCAGATTCTGTGTCTCCCTCTCTGGCCCTCTCCTGCTTGCGTTTTGCCTCTCTTTCTCTCTCAAAAATAAACAAACATTAAAATTTTTTTTAAAAGAAAAAAAATCAACATTATATATGTATGCTTATGGGTACAGAGTCTATTCCTGAAGGTTCCACTTGGAAACAAATGTCTGTTCACTGGAACATGGTGAGTGATTTATGGCCCATCTGCACAACAGAGTTTTCCACACCTGTGAATTGAGTGAGGAGGATCTCTAGACTCTGATCTGCAGTTATGAACTGTGTGTATTCTGAACTGAGAAGCAAGGTACAAAACTGTGTGTAACATGCTAAGGTTTCCCCAAGTGTGTGGAGGAGTGACAATATGGACACAGAACATATATAGGATGGGGCTAATTTTAAAGCTAGACTCGTAAGGAAGAAATGTTGTCATAGTGCCTTATATGTACAAATGTACATATTTCACATAATTATTAAATAATGTTAAATTAATTGTTTTAAAAGCACTAAATTCAAATGTTACAAAATTTGATTGGCTATCCACGTGGCTGTCCCTGTATGTAAAGGAAATATGAATAGGGAAATATATTTCAAGTGAATTGAAAATTAGAATTTTGAGTGTATATCCTGAACGGGGATAAATGGAGGCAAAACTATCTGCCCAAATCTTAACTTTTGTCTACATATTTTACTATAATGTATTTGTATGGTATTTTGGGAACAAACATATTCGTATAAATGGGAAATAAATCTTTCCCTGTAAGACAAAACAAATGCACATATGAAACCAAAGACTCTGAGTAAAAGTCTAAAGCCTATATTTGACAGAAATAATATCAACTCCTATAGTATTGGTTTTAACTTGCATGTATTTCATTTTTCTTTTCATTGAAAAAAATCTAGAAATTATAGACAACTTCACGACAGTGCCTAATTCTAGCGCCCAGTTTATGGACACCTAATACAGTTTTTCCGTATAAGAAGCAGTGTGGTTTAGGAAAAAAGAAAAAACTGACATATTCCAGATCTAGGGCAGGAACCTCCAAAGATCATCCCAAAACTCCTTGCTTGGCAAGGGAATAGAGGAAACCATCAGTGCTGAGGGTTACTTTGGGAGGTGGCAAGGTCTGTCCTGAAGAAGCTGTCACTGCCCCAGTTTGGTGCAACGGTAACTTGAAAGGATTGACATAGATAAACCAAAGGCATATATAGACAAGTAATGCAAAGGTTAATGCCGGAAGATGTTAGGGAAACAACTAATTATTCTGAAAACTGGTAAAGGGTGACTAATGACCATTACCCCTGCATTAGCTGAACAGCCTTCGTTTTGCATTAAGAAATGTCTGTGGAGGCACACAAAAAAATGGCCTGTTTGGATAAGACTTGTGGATGTCAGATAAAAATATTTCATCATGGGAAAAGATTCAGAGATACGAAATTAAATAGTAAAAAATAAATTCAACGACATTTGAGGAGAGACTTCCTCATGAGGACAATCCCTTCTTCCAGAGTCACTGATGTTTCAGTCTTGGTTGATGAAGTATGAAGACTTCTTCAGATTGCGAAGACACAAAGCCAGCATGCTGGACAGCAATTTACGGAGTCATGGTCTTCCTGGCATGGATTAAGGAGCGATAGCTGTAAGATAGGTTTCAAGTTCCATGATTGAAAACTGAGATGGTTATACACTTGAGAAACATCGGAATTGTTATTAGGATAAATCACATAATTTAGAATAGTCCCAAATCAAGACAGTTTAAATTTTCCTTTTTAGGCAATAGCCTTTTCCAAGGTGTCAGTGGATAGTGAAAGACTAGTGGAATTTTGGAAAACAACATTAAAATAAACTAATATGAGGGGAACATTGATTGAAAACCAGAAACTGTACTTAAGTCATACGATTCATTTTGAATAACAACAAAGAAAACCATCATCCTAGATGGAAATTTTTGGAATGTTAACAATAAAATTCACACTAAGAAGTATGTTACTGAATAAAATTCCAATGAAAATGTTAACATTTCTCTTTTTTTAATATTTATTTATTTTTGAGAGAGAGAGAGAGAGACGGGAGGGGCAGAGAGAGAGAGAGAGAGAGGGAGACACAGAATCCAAAGTAGGCTCCAGGCTCTTGCTGTCAGCACAGAGCCCAATATGGAACTTGAACCCATGAACCATGAGATCATGCCTGAGCTGAAGCTGAGTGTTTAACTGACTGAGCCTCCCAGGTGCCCCCAAAATGTTAACATTTCAAAATTTTCTCTATTAACATCAAACGTATGCAAAATTTTAAATGTTTAATGAAAAGAACTTTCCTTACTGTATATAAAGTAAATAATAACTATGGGTTACTAATGGCAAAAACCAAATATGGAATAGAATAAGGAGATTACAAATTATCTATGTTTGCAGGTATTTATGAGATAAATTTATAGAAGTTTATATATGATAAAAGTTAATGCTGAATTATTTTGGAGAAATGAGTTTTTTAATATATGGTAGTAAAATATTTGGAGACTTAGTTAAGACATCACAGGTATATTTTTTGAGCTTTAATCTTAAGAAAATAAATACTGGATCTAAACCTAAGAAATGTCTAATCTCTTAGCTAAAAATATGTTCTCTTTTTGAATTTATTTATTTATTTTTTAAAATATTTTTTAAAGAGAGGGAGTGTGTGAGTGGGGGAGACAGGCCGAGGGGAGGGGAGAGAGAGAGAGAGAGAGAGAGAGAGAGAAAGAGAGAGAGAATATGAATCTTAAGCAGGCTCCACGATCAGAGCAGAGTCTGGCTCAGGGCTCAATCCCACGACCCTGGGATCATGACCTGAGCCGATATCAAGAGTTGGGCACTCAGCCTACTGAGCCACCCAGATGCCCTGGTAGTAGTATATTTTCATAATTTTGGCTGAGCCAAGTATTACTAAGTGTGCACCAAAACTGAGGATTTAAAACATTTGTAGCACATTTGTATTTATGTATAGTTAAGGGGCTCCTGGGTGGCTCATTTGGTTGAATGTCCAACTCTCAATTTCAGCTCAGGTCATGATCCAGGGTCGTGGGATTGAGCCCTGCATCGGGCTCCTTGCTGAGTGTGGAGCCTGCTTAAGATTCTCTCTCTCTCTCCCTCCGTGCCTCTCCCCTGCACGCTGTCTCTAAAATAAAAAAAGATAATAATTAAAAGTGTTTTCATGCTTACACTGTTTTTTTACTGAAAGACCCCTCAAACAAATAGAAAAATGAAACTCAGAGAAAGCATTTGAATATGTAGAAGCAGCAATTATAATAATCTCGGTGTTTCTTTGGCAATGTAAATGAACAGGCAACTCTTAGAAAAGAAAGCATACATTATAAAATGTGTTTTTCTCATAAACATCAGAAAAAAACAAATTACACCAAAAATGACATTGTACTTTTTATTTATTTATTTATTTTTATTTTTTTTTTTTATTAAAAATTTTTTTTTCAACGTTTATTTATTTTTGGGACAGAGAGAGACAGAGCATGAACGGGCGAGGGGCACAGAGAGAGGGAGACACAGAATCGGAAACAGGCTCCAGGCTCTGAGCCATCAGCCCAGAGCCCAACGCGGGGCTCGAACTCACGGACCGTGAGATCGTGACCTGGTTGAAGTCGGACGCTTAACCGACTGCGCCACCCAGGCGCCCCGACATTGTACTTTTTAAATGCACACATACTCTTGCTGAAATTTCATTAGGGTAAGTTTCCTCTAGAAAAATTGCATCATTTTTATTGCATATCAGAAAAGACACACAATTTGGAGTTTTCTTATTGGCCTGCTGTGTTACACATTTTAAAATGTGTAACTGACTGTGACCTCGGGATATTCAGATGCGCCAGTGGAATCCCCCTTCACTGTCTCCCGTGTACTCCACCCTGACCCTCAAAAAAGGCGCTTGCCTAGAGGTCCTCCTCCATTTCCTCGTCCATCCTCCACCTTCTCCACCTGCTTGGTTGAGTCAACCCCCTTGGCTCTTCCACCAATGACCCCCTGGTGGTGTGCCCGGACGCTGTCTCTGTAGGACCTGTGACTATAATAAACTGTTTTTCTGGCCCTCTCTTGTGTCTGGCTGAACCTGACACACCATGTCATGACAGATACAGAACAGCTCAAATTTAAAATGTTTTGAAAATCATTTAGAATACTGAATACAGGGGCGCCTGGGTGGCGCAGTCGGTTAAGCGTCCGACTTCAGCCAGGTCACGATCTCGCGGTCTGTGAGTTCGAGCCCCGCATCAGGCTCTGGGCTGATGGCTCGGAGCCTGGAGCCTGTTTCCAATTCTGTGTCTCCCTCTCTCTCTGCCCCTCCCCCGTTCATGCTCTGTCTCTCTCTGTCCCAAAAAATAAAAAATAAAAAAACGTTGAAAAAAAAAATTTTAGAGTACTGAATACATAAAATTTTACCTGATATAGGTTTTTCTCTTGTTTTCTGGAATGATTGTGCAATTTGAGATTAAAGTAAATGCTGTGTAAAATACATTTCAATTCTATTTTAGTAACTGAAATAGAGCAGTTTGTATTTAAGTGTGGGGGAGACACCTCATGCTTGGTAAACAACCTAATGGACTAGTGATAAGAGAGTCCGTGGGGTGAATAGGAGGAAAACACCTCACTAGTAAGTATCCATCATATTCCTTGGACATTGATTAATATGTTTCATAAAAGAATGCAGAAGGTGAATTCACTCAGCCGTAAATCAGCAGATGTGACTTAAGAGAGATCTTAGTGACTGAATATAAATTGGTCTAGAAGGATCCTCCACAAGTGAAGCGGGGTTAACTGTCTGGGCTGGGAA